TAAAATCCCAGATTGTTGGAACTGGTTGTTTTAAATTTATGCTTAATTTCAATCTTTTCTACAAAAGGCAGAGATTCCAAAAAGGCTACATATCCTTTCAGTTTGTAAGTCTGTATGTTTGTATGTATGTATGCATGTGTGTGTCTATACATATACATAAATACATACATATATATATATAATATATTAATTGAAATGAAAACAAGACAACTAGTTGCAAAAGAGGTTTGCCAGAACATTTGCTTTAAGGAATTCTCTGAAGGCACTCCAACTTGGTGTTACCTAAAGCAAGAATTGCGAATCTCACCATGATTAGAAAGATATAAGACAATATACACTTGATCCCAAATGGAATTATTGGTTTTCTTACTTGAGCCTGCAATCCCACTCTATCTTGCCCAATGAATTTGTAAATGGTTTTGCTATGCAATCAATTGCTCAATCCTAGGTATGCTTGTTGTCTCCTTTCCTCCCACATTCTGTATTCAATCAATTATTAAGTCTTTTTGTTTTGCCTCTACCACAGATTGTAAATCTATCTCATGATTTCATTCTGGACCTGGTCTACACATCTCTGTCTTGAATTCCTACAACTGCATCCTTCCAAACATCTTCCCATGTCTAGTCTGACTTCCTAATAATTCATTCTCTAGAAGGCACTTGTCTTCAATGCTGTATACAATACTACACACATATTTGGTTTAAAGCATGCATTGTCTTCCTAGGGCATCTATAATAAAATCCAGTATTTTTATTATAATCTATTAGGTATAGAGGAATAAAAATAACTTTTCCTCCTGTATTTATGAGTTCCTGACTGGCTGTACTAAAAGAAAACTCAGATTAACAAGGCGAAAACAAATTTATTTTTTCTGCACAAAAATTTATTTTATGTGACATGAGGGCCTTCATAAGAGAGTGGAGATCTGAGGAAGTAGTGAATCCTGAGCATTTGACTTCTAGGTTTTGTTAAGAGTAGAGAATCATGGAAAAATGTGATAGGACAATTTATGAATAAGTGTACAAAGCGGAGGAAAAATTAGCAATGCATCTTCTTTCAGATTCCTTTTTGTATCGTTTCATCCCCAGATATGAGGTTTCTCCTTTATTCCAAATACAGGAAGTGTATATTTCCCGTGAGGGTATATTATCTGCTTCAGGCAAAGATCAGAATATCCTTCTTCAACATATGTGGCTGAAATTCTGTCGGCTCCAAAAATCTGATATACCAAGGTATCATATTTTGAGGGGTAGTATATATTGAATTCCATCAAAGGCTTGCCTTACCCCTAGTCTCTCTTTTATACAAATTATAACATTCTTTCAGTTTCTTTGAAATGCAAGATCTCCTTTATCTCAGTTCACAGAAATCTTTTAAAACTAATTCTTCAGTTCATGTAGTGAATTCTACCTACACTTTAAAAATTCTTCCTGTTTAATTGATTCATTAATACTTACATAATGACTGTCTCTTAAATGTGATACATCACATTAACAAATTGAATAAAAAACAATATGATTATCTCAATACATGTAGATAAAGCATTTAATAAAATATAATTTTCTTTCTTGATAAAAACTATAAGCTAATTGGGTATAGTAAGAATATACCTCAAAGTAATCAAGGCAATACATGCAAACCACAGCCGAATCATTGAATGGGGAAAAGCTAGAAGCATTTCCACTAAAATGTGGAACTAGTCAAGGATGTCCACTCTCACTAGTAAGATTCAATGTACTTCTCAACATATTAGAGCCAATAGATGAGGGGACAAAAATCAAAGGAATACATATTGGAAAGCAGGAAGTCAAATTATCACTGTTGGCAGATGATATGATTCTATATCTAGGGGAGCCAAAAAACTCAACTGTAAGAGTATTTGGAACAGGTAAGAGTTTGGCAAAGTTTTATGTTATAAAATCAGCTCACAAAAATCAATGTATTTGTATATCCAAAAATGCAATGGATGAGAAAGAATTCATAAGATCTGTCTCATCACAGTAGGTACAAAATACTTAAATGTCTAGGGATACATTTAACCAAAGGGTTCAAAGATCTCTACAGTGGAAAATTATAAAACATTAAGAAACAGAAGACAAAAAAGTAAAAATCTTCCTTGTTTGGGGATTAGAAAAATTGTCATCATCATAACATCTATTCATCCAAAACAATTTACAGGTTCAATTACAGATACAAGGACATGCTTCACAGATCTAGAAAAAACAATCCTAAAATTCATATGGAAACACAAGAAAACCTGGATAGCTAAAGCAATCTTAAACATTGAAAACAAAGCTAGAGGCTTCATAATACAAGATTTCCACACAAACAAAAGGCAGTTATAGTCAAGACAACCTAGTACTGATACTAAAACAGAAATTTGGACCAGTGAACCAGAAAGCCCAGATATTAATCCATGCACTACAGCCCACTAATTTTTGGCAAATGAGCTATAAACATTGCCTAGCAAAAGGTCACTTAAATGATACTGGGAAAACTAAATCCCTGCACACAGAGGTACAAAATTATACCTTAAACCATATAGAAATCAACTCACAGAGGATTAAAGAACTAAATCTAATACAGGAAACCATCAAATTACTAGAACAAAAATGCATCAAATTACTAGAGAAAAAACACTGCAAGACATTTGCTTGGGCAAAGACATCTTGGATAAGATATCAGAAACAGAAGAAATAAAAGCAAAAATAAACAAATGGGATTGTATCAAGCTAAGAAGCATCTGCACAGCAAAGGAAACACTCAACAAAGTTAAGAGGCAACTGACAGAATGTTGGAAAATATTTGCAAACCACATATCTCACAAAAGAATAATATCCTAAATACATCAGCAACTTATAAAATATTTAAAAAAACAACAATCCTGTGAAAATGGGCAAAGGAACTCAATAAACAGTTCTCAAAAGAAGAAATACAAATGGCTGACAAATACATGAAAAAAAAATGCTTAACATCACTAGCCATCAAGGAAATAAATGCAAATCAAAATCAGAATGAGATATCATATCACCCCTGTCAAAATAGCTAAAACCTCAAACACAGAGAGTAATAAATGCTGGAGAGAAATGGACAAAGGGAAACACTTAAACACTAGTGGTAGAAATGTAAATTAGTGCAGCCACTGTGGAAAACAGATTTCTTTTTAAAAAACTAGAAATAGATTTGTCATATGATCCAGCTATCCCTCTACTGGGTATACCATAAGATGTGAACATAATGTAACAAAGAGATGCTGTCACCACCATGTTTATAGCAGCACTTTTCACAATAGGCATAATTTGGAACCAACCAAGGTATCCATCATCAGATCAGTGGATAAAGATCTGAAATATTATTCAGCTATAAAAAAGAATGACATTCTATCATTTGCAGCAAAATGGATGCAAGTGGAGGGCATAATGTTTAGTCAAAGAAGCTGGACCCAGAAAGACAAAAAACACATGATTTCCTTTATATGTGGGAGCTAAACTTTAAAAGAAAGAAAGAAAGAAAGAAATGCTTGTATGGATCACCACTGCTGCAAATATAGTTTTGCAAAACACTGTTTTGTACCTTTGTCAAACCAATGGTTAAGAATGTTAAACCACTATAGTTTAAACGTCCTATGATTACTTCAAAATGTAGTATATATGGTTGAAATGGTCTTTTTCCATTCAATTATTGCTTATATCTGTTGCCTATATTCCCACTAAATTGGGCTCTTCTGCTTTTTATTTGTTAAACTTATTATTCTGTGAACTATTAAGCCTTTTTACTATAATTTTAAAATATGTTATCTCAAAAACTATACAATAAACTACAGACAGGGAGAAGGAAACAGTGTGGAGTAGGAGAGGGAAGGAAGAAAAGATTATTGTTATGTTTTTAGAACTGTATCTACAAACCACATTGGATATATTAGAAACTAATAATAATTCAAATAAAAGTAACAATAAAATATACATTCAGAAGATAAAATAATTACTATGCATATATAAATAATTCATCAAAATTTTTCAATATCAGCAAAACGTCCTGGTTAGAGCCAAGGAATTTCCTCTTGGTTCTGTATGACACTCATTTTTAATAATCTATGAAATGTTAACCAAAAAAGTATACCTTAGAAGTCCTAGAGATAGTTGTTGCCTATAATCATTTAAAACATCTTCAAGATACATTTCAACAGCTATATGCAGAAATGAACAGAATTATAGTCAAGTATCTTTATGTTGGAAAGGATATAATTTCTATCAAGTAAAAATATATGAATTTCAAAGCTCACACTCCCTGCATTTTATATATAGAATGTAAACTGAACCTTTTTCATGTTTACTATTAAGGAACAGATGAATTCTGAACGATTTCAGAATAAACAGTTTCATCAGTTTCACAACACAGACAAGCTTATGTATATATATATTCTTCTTAGTAGTACAATTAAAATCCACATTTAACAACTGCTATTACATGAATTTAAATATAGAAATTAATAAACAAATAATCTGTATTGCCTTAGGAATAATTTGTTGTTTCTTATCCTTTTATTTCCATGGTTACATACTTTATATTTACCAAGGATGAAGCATCAAGCTTTCACAGAAGAACACAATTTTGATAAATCTTGACAGGTGATAGAATGTTTTACTTTAAATAACTCATTGTTTCTAGTATTCAGCATCAAATATACTTTACTATGTAAAATTTAATATATAAAATTGTCATTCATATCCAAAGAACTTTTTCCCAGTAGTACCATTTGTTTCCTTTGTGAACCATGCTTTCAAATTCATTTAAAAACCTTTCAAACACTATTCAAATAGTTACATTACTATAACATACCCCAAAACATAAACCTTTTGATAAGGAATATCAGTTTTTTCATTTTTGTTAAAAAAGAAACTAAATTATCCCAATTTTCTTTACTTTAATAACTGGACATTTTCAAACAAGGATAAGAAGAAAATTACTCTAAAAAAAGGAATATTAATTTCAATCTTACCATGAGCTCACAGGTTGGGAATTCAAAGAAGAAGTTCACCACCCTGAGACCTAGAAAAGTATAGTCAAAAATAATCTCTGTTAGTACTGGTATTCAGTTTTAATTCAAGCACCAAGAAATGCTGCATAGTAATTCAATATTATGAGGTGTTTTATTGTATGGGTAGTTAATGTATATATAACTAAAATATTTTGACTGCAATATTTAGTTTAAATAGCATTTTAAGTTTATCAGGTAACACCAAACTACTATAATTTTAATCACTTTAATGTGGTCTGCTTAATGCAGGGTTAATAAGCAGACTATGTGGGAATACTTCCACACATTTGTGGATAACAGGATTAAAAGCTAAGTTTATTTGGTGAAAATAAAATTTTAAATCCATGTAAAAAAGATATTCAAAGGGTTCATGGAAAGTTATGAATAAATTGTACATTAAAAATGCACACACCAAAATATACTTAATTCCATTTTTCCATGAACTTTTTGAAGTATGCTATTATTGCCTTCTTTGCTTCTTATAGGATTCTGGATAATGGATACATCTGCAAACACAATGTATTATGCATACAAGACTTTAGAGTATATTCCTAGTTATATTCCTTTAACAGGGACAAATATATACAGATAGACATATGATCGTATGCACACACAAATGTTAGCATACTATAATTCCATTTTTATTTTGTTTTATCTGTCTGAATAATTAATTTGAACCTTTCCATGAATACAAATATTCTATATCAAAATTGTAAAAGTTATGTAGTACTCCATGGTTAATATGCTCAAAGTCCAAAATTCTTTAAGACATTAGGTTTAATAACTATGTATGACACTGGTTTAGATTCACTGGTAATCTGCTAATCAGCAAATATTATTAAGCCATTAAAAGGTCTAGGTAGATACAACTCCAAAGGAACAAAATAGGCAAATTGAAGATACAATCTTTGCACACCATGTAGAAATTAGTAGTCTTGTGAACCCTTTAGAAAAATCATGAACAGTAGGTTAGAAGGTACTCCTCTGTGTATTTTCTATTTTACTGAAATACTAGTTAATGAAAGAAAACTTCTAATTGACTGAATCTATTATATTGATGCTTTAATAGTGTGGTTTTAGAACATACATTTTGCTTAGTTTTCTGTATTAAATTGTTTCAACTAGTTTCCACCATAATTAAACATTATGTTACATCAATTATCTGACAAAAGAATGCTATTTAACTCTCAAGAAGTATAGCGATATGAGAATTAATCTGACACCAACATGATCCATTAAAGAGTTGACAAAATGTTTCCAATATCATTTCCATGAAATGTTAGAGGAAAACAAAGTATCAGTATCACAGAGTTGCAAAGGTACACGTTAAAATGTGTTGTTATTATTATGCAAATTAAAGTCTATATGTGGAATGAAATTTTCAACGTAACTCAGACTTTCTTGGCCAAAGTCAATGAGTTAATTAGTGGTGTGGACTTGACTGTGCCCTGGGTGTCTTATTCTCATTTCACAGTGCTTCACTCTGTTACTAGACTTTGTTCCAAGTATTTACATTCCCATGTTGGTAGGCACTGTTTACTACCCTAATGTAGATTTTCCTCTACTGCACATTCCTTCCACTGTGCATTGCTAAAGCCTGTGAACCTCCCAAGGCTTGTTCTTCTAATACCACATTCAGCTTTTAGTCCTGCAAGAGTAAGGAATGACTGGAGTATTTCAAGAGCTCTACCTCCTATTTGGGTTTGTTAAAAGAGAAGCCTCTCTCACAAAACAAGAGTAAGATATGAAGGGCATATATCCTCAAAATCCAATCAAGTTAGAGTAAAAGTCCTTCCTACTTTCTCTTTGCAGCAAAAGGCACAGCAAGTTAAATTCTGGCAAAATATTTAAAGGTGGAATGTTAGAATCAAAATGTGTCTGAAGCTAACTACCACCATTATAAAGTAAATTTCTTGGATATATACATTTAAATTTTTAAAAGTTATTGATATTTTATTATCAAGATTTTGACATTATAATACAGAAAAATTCTTTTAGCACTACCATATGCTAGGTTATACCTACAGGCAGTCTTATTCCATATATGTAATCTAAAATTGATACATTTAGCAAATAGAATTTAGACATAAAAGGCACATATGGAGATTCATAATCTTGTTACATCTAGAATGCTTATTTATATTTGAAAGTGAATATTTAGATATTAACAATAAATCCAAAGGATGTATTAGTTGCATTACTGACACCGTTACACTGATTAGATATGTTTGACATGTAGATTGTATGTCACTGCTCAAGTTCAAGAATCCAAAAATCATATTGAAGCCATTTGGCTACTCAGTCTTCCCAGGCCAGGCAAATTAATTTAGGCATATAAAAAAGCCAAATGCAGCCATAAAATTCACTCTAATTTACCTTTTCAATGATTTGTGAGTTTTGACTCAGGCAAAGCTATTGACCATAGGTATATTTAAACAAGAAATAACTATTTTAACATGGCATGAATAAATATTTTTAGAGGTAAGATTTATGATAAAGGATAAGTTATTGAAATGGCAATGTCATTGGATCTAGTTAAGAGTTTTATCCATGATGCATTCCATATTCTATTCTCATACTGGATTAAATAATTTTGATCAAATATAATTCTTCCATTTGTACAAGTTGTCTTGGGAAGAATAACTATTCAGAAAGCACTTAAACTAAGCCCAGTAAGTAAACCACCAAAGAAATTATTTACAATTTTATAGTTCTAATATCCTAAACTCATGTTAGAGAAGGGATGTTTCAGATTTACATTTCTATGAATGCAAAATTAGTGCAGGTTTAATTGAATTAGTATTTCTATGGATAAATTAATGCCACCACCAAATGGATTTACTGGCTATATAACTCAGCATTTGGAAAAATTCAATATTTGCATCTGAGATTGTGGTTTCTATGTTATTAAATAGAGTGCTTTATATGCTCTTGGTTCAATTTTTCAAGAAGGTTAAATTGGTGGGGAGGGAGGTGAGAAAGCTGGCTTTTAAATATTTTGGAAGTCTAACAATTATGAAACAATTTTTAACAATTTAAAATAATTATAAATATCTTTAATGTAAATAATTTTAAAGGCAGCTTATAGGTTTATGAAAACAATGTTTAATCAATAATTTAAAATACTGATATGATTTCTATATTTTATTTCATGTATCCTCTGTTAACTTATAAAAGTCTCATGTATTAGACAATTCAGAATCCCAATTGTCATATACAAGATAATGATAATATTAATATACAACATTTATTAATATATAATATGTCAGACACTGGTCTATTTTATGTATTAATTCATTTAATGCCCACAGATATATTCTTACTTTGTAATAGATAAACAAAACTGATCCATCAGGATGTTGTCCTTTATAACACAAGTTTTTAATGCCAGCGATATGGCTTCAGAGACCATGCCTTTAGGCATTATACCACTTTTAGGTTTAAAGCAATGTAATTACACATTTCTTAAGCATCTAATATCACCATCGTTGGTTGCTTTTAAGTCATAAAAAAAGTTAACCTTGTTTGAACACATACAATGTACTAGAAACTGTGTCAATGCTGTAAACTCAGCTCGTTAATCCTCACAGCATCCTATTGCACTGATAAAAAATTGACTAGAGTCATTCACAAATGCCCTCAGGGGCATAGGAATATTAAATGATATAGATGAGTTTCAGTCACAAACAGTCCTACTTCATATTTAGACACGGCATAGATTCAAATGTTTTTAATTGGGAATGAATGTAAAAATAAATTAGACTTCTACTTTAGTCAATTTTAAAAAGAAACAAAATTTCAACTTCATAAAGCAGATATGACTATTTTCTCAATTTTTTAAAAGATTTATTTGACAGATGGCGTTACAGAGAGATATAAACCCAAAGAGAGAGAGAGAGAGAGAGAGAGAGAGAGAGAGAGAGAGATTGCTCTTCCATATGCCTGCTCATTCCCCAAATGGCCACAATAGCTGGAGCTGAACAAATAGAAGTCAGGAGCTGGGACCTTCTTTCAGGTCTCCCATGTGAGTGCAGGGACCCAAGGACTTGGGCCATCCTCTATTGCTTTCCCAGGTGCATTAGCAGGGAGTTGATCAGAAGTGGAGCAGCCAGGTCTCAAACAGGCACCCATATGGGATGCTAGCCCTGCAGGCCAAGGCTTTAACCTACTGCGCCATAATACAAGCCTCGATATTCTCTCAATTTTTAAATCTATAAAATCAGTAAATACATTTAAAAAAAGAAAACAATTCTAGTCAACTCCAACATATCCTGAAGAATTTTAGACAGGACAGTCTGAAGAGCTAAGCTCATTAAATGCTAAATTGAAACTTTGTACTATTAATCAAACATGTCAATTTCTTGACTTATCTGTCAATAAATTTTTGAATACTTATTTATAAAATATGCAAATTTATGTAACATACCAACAACTTGAGCATAGGTTATCAGAAGCACTTTCATGGAAAACCAGATAGTCTTCTATCCATTTAGTAAATGCAAATAATGCTGTTTTTGAAAAAGCAGAAACTTTGAACTCTTCTTTTTTTCAAGACTGTTAAGCTTATCACCTCAGAAACACACCTCTTATAATTACTGGCAGCACATTTGGGAAAATGTGTGGGGTCTTTCAGTAAAATCTTGCATGTTGCAATCTCTCAATAAATAACTAACAAACATCAAAATTCTGCAAGAAAGAAAACAATCACTGGATAAACACTTAGGAAGTAAACTTCCCTCCATTTAGGTGCTAGATTTCACATTATATAAGTGATATCCAAACCTGTTCAATATCTAATTCAATACCTAGATCACAAAACACAACTTAAACCCTGGAAAACTGGTGTTGACAGGAAGTTATTTTTTTAGGACTATTAACCCATTCTATTATCAATCTATGTGAATCTGTGGTAAAATGATAAAGTAGTAAATAATATTAGTCAAGTAACTAATCCATTTATTCAAATTTTTTGAATTATTTACTAGCTAGTACTATATAAAATCATGAGGAT